TCCAGCAGAATATAATATTACCTAAGTTAACAGCAAGTTCATTGTAAGCAACTTCCAAAACTCTAGCATTGAAGAGACATCTCGCTTTCTGGACAATCACCCAAAGTTCTTTTGTATTGTTGGAGCATCCAAATTCAGTTTACAGGCCCATAGAGTACAGCAGACTCTTCCATGAAGCAGGAAATTTCAAAAACAGTTCTGCCTATATTGACAATTTGTTAGTCACTATTTTCTGTGTTCTGTAGAATGTCTAGCAGACTCTTTCATGAAGCAGGAACCCCGAAGGATTTTCTCACCTTTAGGCAAGTTCAGCAGTCATTTCTCTGTGGGTCTTGAATGTGCAGTTCACACAGAATAACACCAACAGTCTAGGCAAGAAGAGTTTCTTGCCCAAATGGCTAGTAAATTCTATGAGGAACCTCTTCAATGCCCATAATTCTCTTGAAGTAGATTGGTACTTCCAGGAGCAGATGTGTCATGAAAGATCCTAACTTTTTAAAACATTATAAATGCCATATTCTGTTAGTCTCTGAAGGATTTGAAAAATATCCATCTGAAATATAGCTTTGCACATCTAGAAAAATCTAACATGGCTATAGTTTGAGTATCATAGATGACTATTAATCTGTACCTCCTAATTATACATTTTTAAGTGAGCTGCACAAACACAATTCCTTAACCAATAGCAGAAATATACATAAAACAAAATTGACCTTAAAGTTGTATCAATAAACCAAGATCCATACCAATGCAAAATATTCATGTCTATAGCATGACATAATATATCTATCCCACTTTCAATCACAAATGCATCATCTATTTAACCGTGGTCCAAGAATCCTTTTCCTTCAGTGGGTTCCAGAGAATGCAGAGACTCACAGTGGATCATAAGAAGAAATATGTGATCATTGAGAGTTCAGTCATAAATGGGACGTTTATATCATCCCACCCCCACTCTTAGCTGAGAGGCCTCGTGGAATTTGCAGAATAGGAGGTGGGAAGAATGTAAGTGCTGGAGGATGAGGGAAACTATAATAAAACACAAGATCTCCTGGGCATGGCATGGCTGTCACACTCATGAACTCACATCATCAGTGATTACCTGTGCAAAGCTGTACCTGTCAATGATCCATCATGGGTGGGGAAGGGGCTGTGCAACCCAGTCCTTCCCTGAAGAGTTATTCACAGCAAATGGTTTGTGGGAGGAGCAGAAGACATCCTTCAGTGGTGTGGCCACTGTTAACTTGCCCCTGTAACTAGTCCCACCCACACACATAAAGCAAACTTAATTAGATATAGTATCTCTCAGACATGGAAGTTGGAGGGGTGCACAATAAGAAGAGAAAGGGGGTTGGGGATAGTGGATAGGGATAAAGAGAAAATGACTATCATGAAAATACTTTATATATGTATGAAGTTATGAAAGAATTTAAAAATAAGTTTAGGTAGCTATCCCAGAAGGCCTTGCACTGAGGCCATTGGCTGGCTGTGAGTGGGACTGGGAGGGATCAAGTGAAGCTCTGAGCAGCTGGGTGTGGTTTAGTCATCACTTTGGCAGGGTAGATCATGGTAGATTGCCTTAGTGTTCTCAATAGTTTACAGGAAGAAAAAATACATTTCACTTGCCAGCTGTGTAGACTTATTGCCTCTGGAAAAACCATTACTGAAAAGCAAATGAGGAGATGGTGTGGGAAATCCTTCTGTATATGTTTTGTTTTTATTGGTTAATAAAGAAATTGATTTTGGCCAATGGCTTAACAGAATATAGCCAGGCTGGAAGATACACACACACACACACACACACACACACACACACACACACGGGGAGAGAGAGAGAGAGAGAGAGAGAGAGAGAGAGAGA